GTCATACTCTCGTTAGTAAATAACCAGAGAGCTTAAATAGGTAATCTTCTAGTTAGATTGCAAATATAGTAGCTAGTGTAGAATTTAGGCAGACTATTTAAATTAGATACCAAAAGTATATATGTAGCTTGATATATTTTCGTTGTAATTGTATATAATCTGAAGTTAATAATCTAATAAAAAATCACTAGCTGTAGAGATCACCTTAAAACCTAAAAAAAATAAAATAAAATAAAATTAATCGAAAGTATTTACAATATGAAATTAAATACTTAAATTAAAAAATATTCTTTACTTTTGCATACTAAATTATATAAATAAATAGAAGCAAATAATAAATACTTAGCAAATATTTTTAAAATAAAAATAGCTCATGAATAATCTAAAACTAGCTAATATATGAAATATATATATTCTTGAAAAGATTTCTAAAACTGAATTTAAATAAAGCTAGTAAAATATAAACTAGGTTAATACTAGTTCCAGGAAGGTTGTAATATAAGACAAAGCTAATTTAAACCAAATCTTAGTTATATTTGAAAAGCTAATTACAGATTGTTGTATAGATATATGCAATTTTTATTGCAAAAAACTAAAGATTAGAATAAGTTATATTCTTATATTTCTGCTAAGAGCTCTAATTTTAATAGTTTATTTAAATAAATAAAATAATAACAAATATTTATTGAACTTTAATATTTAAAAATAAATAAGCAAAAAATATATATATATAGTATATGTACTATATAATTTATATTATATAGGGTATGGCAACTTAGTAAAGTGGTGGAGTTGTTGTATTCTCAGACAGCAGGTCTAGAGTTTGAATCCCATGAATAATGATTTTGAAAAAACTAGATCTGTATTGGTTAATGTTAAGATTATCAGTTGGATCCAGATATTTGTAATTTTGGTCATACTATCTCAAATAGGAGCTTTGGTGCAATAAATCCAAGAAGCCAGAATTATCGAAAACCTGTTTGGCAAGTCCTGAGTGTGGAGTAACAGTAATCTTTGACAGTGCTACAGGAAGGCCAAATTTGAAACTAAGGATCAAGACCAAAGAACCGAATGACCAGATCTTTAAGTAGGGGGATACATCAGCTAAACCACTGGACCACCAACTGGAGGAAAAGAATATATGCTTCAGAAGCATATACTAAGAGGTGAGCAACCGTGAGGCACTTAAAGCCTGGGCAGACTAACTCTTCCGGGTTGCCGGCTAGAAGTAAGAGAGGGACTAGTAAGGAATTTAGAAAAAAAGGAAGCTAGAATATGGATACTGAGATTGTTGTGAATCTTATAAGAGCAAGAGTATGTAATGGGATCCTAATTAGAAAGGCTATAGCTTAAGATACAAATCAGGTTACAGCAGTATCCGAAAAGATAGCTTGAGATACAAACCTGGTAGTGGCAGCACAACAGGTACTAGTTGGGAGAAAGTTACCGAACACGCAGGTGAGTACATATAGGACATGTACCGCACTGTTAGATTTACTACAAAGATAAATGCTCATATTAGGGTTGTATAACTTACCGTAAGTTATTTTTAAAATGTAAGTTACATTTTATGTTGTGTAAGTTACCATATAAAGTAAGTTATATAATGTAAGATAAAAAAAAAAAATCGCGAAAAAATTGTATCATTTATCAATTTAATATGCCTCATAATAAAGGAACTTTTTGGGACGGATTTGAAAAACTAATAAATAAAAAAGGACAAGAATGGATGAAATGTAAAACTTGTAATAAATCATGGGTCAAAAATGAAACACGAATGCAAGAACATTACAACTATTGCAAGTTAAAAAATTCTGGCAATAGTAATACATCAAGTTCTACATCAAGTTTTG